TATACATTTAAAGAGATCTGCATTATGCCATAAAATACATAAAACAGTAGAAAAGGTGGCTTACTGTGAATGGGAATATTATGAGAGATATAGGTCTAGTTTTCTGACACATATTTACTCTGTCAGCATCAGGATCAAATTAATGTCACAATAGGTTTGAAACTTATATTTAATAATTTGCTGATGCATTTCAGCAGGTCACGCATGTTCTTATTCGTTATCGGTCCATTTCTGACGCATCTATTCTGGTACAAAACAGCCCTGCTCATGACATGACAACAAAATATAATCTCCATGAATTAAGAAAATGCTGATCACTTTTTTCATTAAATCGTTCCTTTGTATGAGTTAAAACATGAAAGCACTGTATTTATTCAGTCCGGTGAATCCACTAAAATAAATGAAGAAACGAGAATTAATTAATTATTGGATGGATCGATCAAGAGAGAGAGAGAGAGACAGAGAGAGCTGACAATAGTCTACCTGCGCTTGTGCGTCTCTCTACAAACAATGAAGCTGAGTTTAGTTACTTAAACAGAGATATACCCCCTTGTTGCTGATGAATATAATGTAACGATTCAGTGTCTAAACTATTTTATTAATAAAAGTCGAGGGAAGCGTTCACAACAAGATCTCAGATCTCACAAAATAGACATTATTTTCAGGCCACATGTATATATGTATGAATTATTATAAATATGATTAAAATCAATACGTATGGATGACAGTTGATTACAGTAATAGTTCAGTTTATTTAGTTTCCCCTGTGGGATAAACAAAGTTAATATTAGTCTTATATTAATAATGCTTCATTAACATTGGTTCGGATTATCCCTGTTTTATTCATAAGTCAAAAACCAACAAGATTGTTTTCTCCATGTTTCCAAGTTCTCTAAGAATGTGAAAACACTAAATACTTATTAATTACTTCTTTTCAAATCTGAGCAGAGGTCACCCTTTCTTAATTTCAATAGGAGAGATGGCCTTTTGTTTGTTTATTATTATTATTTTGTGCTGTGGGCCTATTATTGGTTACTGTGCTGTTTCTGGTTCAAAAGGCAGCAATAAATAACACTTTATTATCTAAAGAGTGTTCCTGTGATTTTATACACTAGTAATGTTGTGAAATGAATAAATGCATAATAATCCTAATAACCGTGAAACCGTGATTATTCCTCAGACAATAACCGTAGCAACACAATCTATAATCGTTGCATCTCTAATGCACAGCTAGACAGCTCAAGCAGCTGCACTTCTGGCCTCTGACCGGATAACTGGCCTTTCTGAAAGACATGTCTTTGTTATATTTCAGTTTCTATTTAAATGTGGTCCACACGAGCCCCTCGCCCTCTTCAGCCTCACCAATGAACACATAATCACACTTAAAACATGCTTTGATACGATCACTGGATAACTCGTCATAGTCTGTGGTTAAAGCTCCACTCAGCGGTCAAAGGCTGCAGATGCAGTGCTGATGGTAACCCGGCGGTAAAAACATCATTCTCCTGAGTGCTCTCTGTGTTTTACTGGTTATTAAAGTTCACTTCAAATGTTAAGTGTTTTTGTTAAATTGATAAGAAGTGATAGCAAAGATTTAAATTGTTAGAAAAGATTTATATTTAGAATAAATGCTGTTCTTTTAAACGTTAGATTCATCAAAGAATCCTGAAAAAAGTATCACAGTTTCCAAAAAATATTTCATTCATTCATTCATGTATTTATTAATCAGCGATAAACACAACAGCAGTTGACCATAGTGCTGTACAAATATAAAAACAAGCCAGAAAGAAGAAAAAACTAATAAATAATAAAAATAAAAACATTAATAAAATCCATCTCAGACTTCTTGTTGCCTTGTTTTCTTTTAATAAGTCAGATAGATAAAAGGGTGCAGGTCATTTAAGGATTTAAAGGACTGCTATGTTTAAAGGACATATAAGTGTTATTTATGACATAAGGTTTAAATGATTTGGCAGCACAACTGTTGATAATTCTAATAATAAATCAGCATATTAGAATGATTTCTGAAGATCATGTGACACTTTATACTGGAGTAATGATGATGGAAATTCAGCTTTGCATCACAGAAATAAATTATATTTTAAAGGATATTAAAATAGACACCATTAGTTTTATATTGTAATAACATTTTGCAAGATTACAGTTTTTTTCTGTATTTTTGATCAAATAAATGCAGCCTCGATGAGCAGAAGAGACTTCTTTAAACACATTACAAGTCTTACTGATCCCAAACTTTTGACCGGTAGTGTGTGTGTATATATATAATGTGTATATGTATAATGTGTATATGTATAATGTGTGTATGTATAATGTGTGTATGTATAATGTGTGTATGTATATCAGAATCAGAAGGAGCTTTATTACCAAGTGTTTACACACACAAGGACTTGGTGACAGGAGCTTCCAGTGCAGAAGAAATGTATATATGTGTAAATGTATATTCATTTTAAACTACAGTTTAAAAGTGTTGGATGTAAACCCAGGAATAAGCTTTAGTTTCCACTCATTCTAGAGAACTCTAAGCTGTGTTGTGAATCTCACTGAGTTTAGTAATAACTCAGTAAAAAGAAAGAAGAAACGCTCACGTATCCCAACACTTTATTGTGTTAAAACATGAATAAAAGGGGTTAAAACATAAAAGGGGTCATGAATTGAGAAATCAAATTCTCCGTGATCTTTTGATATATAAGAGGTCATTGTACTATTTAAGAAATCCTGTAAGTTTCAGAACTCAAAACTTTCTCATTAGTCTGAAAACACTTTTATTGAAACCAAGATTCTAAAATGACTCGTTCTGGGATTTGTCACATTATGATGTCACAGTGCGATGAAAGCCCGCCTCTGCAGAAGATGATCAACACCTGCTTCAACATCACTGGCTCTTTAGCAGCGGAGAAACACAGTCTCAGAAAACTGTGCTACATTTAGCTACATTTACATATTCATTAGCTGAAGAAACAGTCAGGAGCTCTTCTTATTGTGATTCAGTGTTCAGATCATGTCATCCCATGTTCCTGAGCAACCCTCTTTACATGTCTTTATTATTATTATTTATCTCTTCTAGATTTTCTGGCTGTGATCTCACTGCTCAGTGTTGTGAGAGTTTATCATCAGCTCTACAATCCTCAAACTCTGTCCTGAGAGAGCTGGATCTGAGTAACAGTCACCTGCAGGACTCTGGTGTAAAGTTTATTTCTGATGGACTGAAGAGTCCAAACTGTCAGCTGCAGATACTGAGGTATTAAGAACATATAAGAGAT